TAGGTATGACCTACCCTCATCCAACTTATCTTGGTTTGACTGTTCCTAACTTGACACATCTTGTCTTACTCTAACCTAACCTATCTAATATTGGTCTGTCCTATTCACTTACGACCCAACTTGACCCATTTGGACCCAACTTGACTCGACATGGTTGAGTTTGTCTTTACCCAACCTGACTCATCCTAACATAGTACAACACAATCTGATTCATCTTAATTTATCAGTCTAATCCGACTTGACCCAACCTTCCTCATCTGGTAAAATTTATTTTGATTACACTTGATCTTATCAATTTGGTCAATCTCATCTTACTTGACTTGACCTAATTTGTCATGGTCCATCCGAGTCTAACCTTATTCATGTAGACGGGGATAAAATATTATAAGTTAGACGTAATTCACAATATAATAATGATAATTTTCATAATTTTTATATTTAATATAAATTAAAACACTTTATTGAAATAAGAAAATTAAATTTCAATAAATTTAAATTATCTTACCCAAATAAATTATTTAAAAAATTAAATCATTTTAAAAAAAATTAAATTTAATATATTCAAATTTTTTAGAAATTATAAAATATATTATAAAAAAATTAGTTTAAGTTATTTAGGATATCGCATTATAAACTTTTAATATATAAACTAACTTATCATCGTCGTAGATGCATCTAAATGAATAATAAAAGAAATGTATAAAATTATAAATTATAATCATATTTTTTCTTTAAAATTTATTTGTTTTATTTTTTATTGTTTTAATTTTCCTTTTTCTATTTCGTTTTAACCTTTCTAATATATTTAAAATTTTAATTTCTAAAATGTATAGTTATTTATTTATATATAATCTAATTTAAAATTCATAAAATATTACAGAGATTAAAGAAATGTTATACCTATTTAAAATAAAACAAAATAATAGAAAGTTAAAATGTTATTAAAACCAAAAATTAAGCAAACAAGTTATTGAGAACAAATCAAAATATGACTATATTTTGAAAAATAAAAAATTGTTTAAACATGTTCTTATATGGCTCTCCAGAATAGTACCTTATGAAGACTAGACCTTCTCGAAATTGGGAGTTTTTCGGATCTGGGAGATTGCTCAAAGTTTTGGATTTTTTTGGAGATTGAAAATGTGGATGTTTAAATGACAAATTGTTTTTCCAACTCCTTCCTAGTTTTTCGTATATTCCCGTAATTAAATTAAATTGTATTTTATTTTTATACTATCTTTATCTTCTTAAGGGTTAATTTTTTATTTTCAAACTTTTCAACCTCTATTTTTACATCCTAAATCATTTTTCATTCTTCCTTCTTCTATTATCCCCTATTATCCCAGTAACTATAAGAAAAAGGTAAGAATCTCCAACAATTTTAAATTTGTATCAATTTTTTTATCACGTATAATATTCATGCAATAAGATGTTTGGTTGAAAACACTAGGATGGGAAATACATTTTTTGAAAATATTTTCTAGAAACAAGTTTTAAAATGTATTTTTAGAATTAAAGTTCTCAAAAGTGGGTTCTATAATATATTTCTCGAATCAATTTTATGAAAATATATTCTAGATTGATGTGTATTCTGAACCCATTAATTTTTTAAATATATTCCACATCTCACCTTCTATAACTTGTTTTTGAAAAATCTTTTCCAAAAATGTTGTTCAGGAACTCACTTTCCATAACTTATTTATGAAAAATACATTTTAGATTGAATATTTTGGAACTCAATTTAAATTTTGAAAAACTATTAAATAATTTGGGTCTTAATGTACGATTTTAACGTTGAAAACATATAATAAATACATAATAATAATGACTAGTTACATTTAAGTGTTAAAAACCATCTTGAAGGGAGATGATGATATAAGAAATCAAATATGCAAATTTATCGAGACGTATAAGATAAATAGTGGAGGTACAAGAAAAATATTATTATTTTTTAATACAAGAAAAAAGAAATATTTTAAAAGTTATGAACCATGAAAATTACTATATCAGACATATAACTTTATTATATAATGAAAATAACCAAAATACAGAAAATTATTTTCCAAAATTGGTATATGTTTCCAAAAAGTAATTTCCTATAGCAAATTATATTTCAATTCCTTGTATTATGTATAGGATTGATAAAATATATAAACCTTTACATGAAAAATGCACAATATTAATATTGATTTTAATGAAAAACATTCCATTCAATATAAATTGAAGTAAAATTCTTCTTTTCTTTTTTTTTTTAGGAAATAAATTAGGAGGTTGTAAATAGTAAATTCCGATGTCATTCGATTCCAAACAAACTACAACTCAACGCAATTGGGCCTTGGCCCGACTACCTTCTTATACTGCTGCATCACAATTTCTGAGAAAAAAAAAAGAAAAAAGAGTTGAGTGTATAAAATAAATAGCCACTTTTCGTGAGTCCACCCACACTCTACACACGATTTGCACTAAGTTGTATTATTAATGTTTTGTTACTTTAGTTGTTTAGTTTTTTTTTTTTTTTCAAGATTTCATTGTGAACTTCAAGTTTACTGAGTGTATTTAATTGATGATTTCGAAAGACTTTTTAATACTTAAACATATTTGGCAATTTTAAGATACTTTATAAGAATGTAATATCTTTTAAAGATTTTGTAATTTAAATTTTAAAAGGCTTATAAAATATAAAATCGTAAAATTAAAAAAGACTTTATAGACCTACAAAAATTTAAAGGATTTCATTCATTTAAAAAAATCATAAATAATAAATTATAAGTATGGTTTATGTTTACTTTTTATTGTGAGTTGTATTTTTTTATTTATTATTCTGCTCTGCAAATTACGTGAATTAAAATATATTTTAATTGAAGCATGTTTGATATTAAAGTAAACCATTCAAGATAAAAAAAAATAGTATAAAAAAACAAACAAACTTGTATACAAGTAGAAGAAAGAAATTCATAATTAAACAGTCTTAATACTCTTCTTCAAAATGATCAAACCAGAGTAAGCACCCTATCAATAATTTATGAAAAATGAATTCTAGAGCATAAAAAATATAAAAATCTTAATTGAATACTAATTAAATATGTTTATATATATGTAGAAAGGAAAGCTTTAAAAGAAACTTGTAATTCCAATTGAATAAATATTTTTAATGTTTTTAGTAAAATTTGATTGTTAAAATGACTTATATTTAAAAGAAAAGTGAGTTAGAATGACCAATGTAAAAATTTTGTGAGTGAGTAAACTATGAATACTTTTATAAGTCTTTTATGAGTTTTGAGATTCACTTAAATTTTCGTAACAAAAAAAGAGAGAAAAAGAAAATGAGTAACAGAAGGTGACAGAAGCATATATTCTTGTAACATACTCTGGAACTCGTGAAATGACTTGTGTCCAAAACATAAGTTTAATCAGCCATGAAATCAGCACACTATATATTGTTTTGCATTGTTAAAACACATTACTCTAGCTATAGCATTTGCATAATCAATCAATAGATTTCATTCTTTAAATCTCCTCTAATTATTGTTGCATGACTTTGGGGACAAGCAATTAAGACTCTTGTCAATGCATGGATAGTCTAGGACCCCTAGGACTTCTTTTCAGGCTCACGTTCTTCGTTAGTTTCTTCAATCCATCTTTCAAATGGATATTATATTAGTGTTTGAGGTAAACCAGACTTCCAAAATTGCCAACCCAATTGAAGGGACGTTCACAAATTAGGTAAAACACTACTTCTATTGTGTCAATGTGTTCTCTACTAAAGTGACTGGCACACTAGGCACAATTGAATTCAAATTTCAATCTACAAGTAAAAGACGTAGGTAGATGATGGTACTGGCAAATTACAACATAGTAAAGAAACGGAAATTGGCAGCATGCCACCGCAGGACCAACATCCCTTCATTGTAGGTGAGACCTTTACCCTGCCTTTATTGTCAGCCCTTGAATACAAAGTCTTAGGCTTCAGTGAAGGCCCCACCTTAGAGCTTCAGCTTCACATTAAAGACAAAAGGCATTGAATAGAGAAGCCAGCTTATCATGAAGGCTAGAGTAGTTACTACATTTAGCTTCTCTTTATCAACTACATAAGCCTAGGTGCTGCTGCTGAATTATTGCTTGGTTTTCTTGGTTTGAAATGGCAAAGAAGTGAACCACCAAATACTCTTCCCCCTTATAATTGTGCTATTCAGATGGACAATGTTGTGTGATTATTATTACTCTGCTATTTCAAATACCATAAGATGAATAATGTACTACATAAAGGAAAGTATGGACATGACAATCAATTGAAACATTCAGTCATTGTGTATTGCTTTCTAACGTATCCATCAACAGCACCAATTCAGGACATGTTTCTGTTTCTATAATAGTGTTTTTTTTCCCTCACAATAAAGGAACTTTTATGGAATGTTCAAGATTACATATTCTAGCAAGACCCCCTCTCTCCCAACAACTGCAAAATAAGTATGGAATATTACATTTGGAGTTTGGTGTTTCATATCATATTCAAAACAATTGTCACTATCTAACAGAGGACATGAATTCTGTAATTTGTAAGGAAGAATTTGTGTCAAAATATGATAATGTTAATACCCAATAGTCCTAAAGTTTTTTTTTTTTTTTTTAATATCTTACTACTGTTTTCTTCTAAATCAATTCTGTTTGAGACACTATTAAACATTAAATAATGAACACTTCTTCCAATGTAAATTCAAACTTCGATTCCCAGAGTAGTAAGATAGTAACTCTTTCTATTATTATTAACCCCGTTGGTACAATAGTCCTAAAGTATAATGATTATCACCAAGATAATTCCAACCAAGTAACAAACCTAATATTGAAAATTAAATAGACCATATATGGTATATGTATATCAAACCCCTTGTCACTTACTTAGTCCGGCATAATTTACTGTTGGGATCGCTGTGTGTTACAGATGACAGTTTTTCCTTTTCTGCGATGTATAATTGATTTTTTTTGTCCTTGTTTGTTTTGTTTTACGTTTGTATGTATTTATTATTTTCCATTTGCGTTGGTTCACCTGGGGGCACAGTAATCCTATCATGTTCTCTCAAACTAAAAACACATTGGGACTCAAAATGTGCTTCATACAGATACAATAATGTTCCGAAGCTTTCCATAACTGGATGATCTGTGTCACTGCTGGAAGATAAGCTAGTGTTTCCTTTGTCTCTTATACCTTTCCTTGTTCTTGGTGGCTCTGGGAAGAGATGTACCTGGCAGTCTGACATGCATGATTTCTCTTCCTATGATTGGTGACTGTGGCTGTAAGAGATACCAACTTGAAAAGTTAATATACTTGCAGTTTTGGGTATTGGGGTATTTGTTTAGTAATTTTGAGTATGATAAAAATGGGGTGATGTCGCAGTCTCTGTTGCTGGGAACTCTGGGGAACCTTATTTTCACAAAGAAACTAAATAAAGATGATACTTATGGTATTGTTTAACATATGAAAATGTATTAATTAGACTATGTCCGTCGACAAATAATATAAAATTGAGCAAACTTTTGTCTGAACCTAAAAACATAATCATGACTTGTCCTGTTTTTATGTGGTTTAATAAGCAAGTGGGTTTGGGAATATAGAGCTTTTCAAGCAAGTGGGTCCCTTTTTTAATATGCATATTAGAGATTGTTTGATGGAAGAATGTGAGGGAAAACGAGACTGTAAGACCCACAATGGCCCTCAATTATTCCTCTCAAAAGTTAAACACTTTCAACTTTGCTTTGTGAAGAATGGCCATGGAAGGTTATTCACCTTTACTGAATGGTCTTTCTGTGTCAAAAATTTCTCCAACCAATAGATAAGAGCTGCTAGGATTGTTTAAAGCTTAATGCTTTTGTCTTTGCCTTCAAAAAAGTTATAGTCTTTTGGTACCCACCACTAAACAAATCATACAAACAGACACCAGATAAACTCCACAGATCTTACTCTGTTTGTCTTGTATATTGTTTATTTTAAAGCTTTTTTAAGAAAATATCAATGGTACAAGTTATATATATATATATATATATATATATATATATATATATATATATATATATATATATATATATGTACTTTTATTGAAATTTTTCAATAAAAACTAATTAGTAATTATTTAAAGTGACAAATGTTTGGAGACTATAATATAAACAATGTGGGGCACATGAACTGTTAAAAGAGTAGTAAAGTGAAAAGTTGGCAGAAGGAAATTAATTGATGAGAACCAAATGGGTGATAAGGTGCGTTAGTTAGGAAGGAAGACTAATGGAGGTGGTGGTGTCGGAGCATGCCCCTTCTCGTGAACTTCCTTTTCATTTTTCACTTTGGCCATTTCTGCCATGAATTTAATGAAAGTAAAACTTGTTCCAGAAGTTGGGAATTATATAAGTCTCACAAGAAAACTAACCCAACCACTGAACCACTCCAACAGTGATTGTTTGTGGGAGCAATGATGATCATCCCAATGAGGGGGAAAAAGGGGGAAGAGAAAAAGGGGATTTTGGAAAAACGGAAAGGTTTGGGTGCATGCCAACATAAACAAGATTTATCAAGATTATAATCTCTTGACAGAAAGTAATAAAAGTGTCTTTTCCTATTGAGATGGCATAAAGATAGTACTGTTGAAACAATAGACACTTGGTTTTATAAAATGATCAACGCATAATTTCACAATGATTGGGGTTAATTATCCACTAGAGAAACCTTTTGCCCAAGAAAAAGGCAAATAAATGGTTGAAGGGGGCGGGGTGGGGATTGCAATGTGATTGATAAGACGCAATCAAATTAAATCAATTCTATAGTATTACCAAAGTCATTGCAACTCATAGCAACATGCCTAAATTATGTTCTATAGTTGCCTATAATTAGATAGCATAATATTAGCCTTCCTATAAGACTGAATTCGTGATTGAAAAATTTATGTTCCTCAATTATGGAAAATGGGTGTTTGAAGCAAGAGTAATTTATATAATTGAAAGAAAAAACAAATCATCTTAATATATAGTAGAAACATGATTTAAGGGAAAGATGATATATAGCAAATTTGAATTATGCTTGGGTTTGTATTGAGGTGGGTAATGGAATGAGTTAATTTGAGTGGAATTGTAGAGTTATTTGGATTAAAGAAAAAAATAATAAATTTTAAGAGATTTGAGTGGATTTATGTAACTGAAATGATTAAATATAGGATAATTAAATAATAATATTTTTAGTATAATCATTAAATTATTTTGTAAAGTAAAATGAGATATTCATAGAAAATGAAAAAATATAAAATAATTAAATAATAATATTTTTAATGTAATAATTAAATTATTTTATAAAGTAAAACGAGATATATTCATCAAAATAAAAAAAAATTAATGAGAATAATTTAGATATTTATTATTTAACCACCACATCTTCGTCACTGCAAGATCCTTCCATCAAATTCTCTATTAATCAGTTGAAGAAAAAAAAGGAAATTTTTGTAAGTACTCCCATAATTTAAATAGTTAAAGAATATCTCACCTCAAAATCCTATAAATTCATAGACATTTTACTTAAAAAATTATCTGTATTTTAAAATATATTATTTTTTTAATCTTGTATCACTGAGATCAATTCCAGTTTGCATGTCTAACAAATAATTTGTGTGAACGATGCATTTACTTTTCTCAGGTACATTAGTGGAATTTTGAGAGTTGCAATCAAGGTTGAATATTTTTATTATTATTATTATTATTATTATTATTATAGGGTTGAATTCGAACAACTAAACATGACAAGTAAAATAAAATGATTTTTTTTATTTAGTAGCTTATAAATAGGATGGGATGGATATAAAAATGTATCCTTTCATTTTTAAAAATACACTACATATCCATACCATCTTTATATTTTTTTTCCAATCAAAATGCTCTTAAATAATTTATTATTATAAAGAAGTAATTAATATTATCTTCAACTTTTCAAACGTGGTTCATTTAAAATAAAATGATTTTAAAATAAAGAGAGTATTTATTTACAAGGATATTTACTATAAGATATATGCTTACAATTTGCGTATTTTATTTTATATTAACAGAAATTTATTATCATGTTTCATGATTGTATAAAGAGGTTATATTTAGCAAGGTCAATGAAGTTTTTAGTAGTTTTAAAATTGGTTTTTATTGAATGGTCACGTCCAATTTTTTTTTCGAAATTATTTATATATAAACATTTAATAAATAAAAAAATTATTTAATATATAAAATTATTTGGGGTTATGTGTGTTGTGCATGGAACACGAAGAAGGAGGGTATTACTGGTGGATCGTCCCACGTGGAAATATGATTGGATACAAATTTCATGCTCTCCCTTTCTTGCAACTCTTCGAAGGAGAAAACAAAATTATCATGGCAGTAAGAAAGAAAGAAAGAAAAAAAAAACATGAAACATAGAGAGAGAGTAAATGAAAAGATGTGAATATTTAAATATAGAGTAGAGAGTTGGAAAATATGATCCTATCCAACCATGTAGTAGCTGGTGGCATGCTTTTGTGGATGGTGGATGAAGTAATTAAGCATCAACCAATAACGCATATTGGGAATACAATTCCATTCCTTGCTTTCACCACAATCAAACGTGCAAACAATTGGAGTACTTCACCATCGCTTCCATCTATCGATCAATCCACATATTCTTCACTTCCATGCTTCTTCCAATTATATTATCGCCACGTCATTACCCACGTATTTCCTCACCTTATTTTCGCCAAAACAAAATCATCATCACGATAACAAAATTAATCATTACTAAAAACACAAACTTTCAGACATTGTTATCAAAATATCCACGTTCTACACTACAGTTAACTGGTTCAGACGGGAAACGGGTAGTGCCATATATTATCTCTTTTTTCGGAAACACATTTTCATTATTTTTTTTTTCTTGGTATGAAAATCTACTATGCATTCTGAACAACAATGGCGGAAGACTCTTCCCGAAGAAACCTCAATTGTTTCGCGATGAATGCTTCAATGGCGCGTTGAAACTCCTCATTGCTCAGCTTATCCTGCGGGTACAAATTTTCCGGCGGATTATCGAGCCGCTTCTCGGTCTCCGACCGCCGGAGATTTCGCCGGCGAGGCGTTTTTACGGTGTCTCCTTTCCAGTTCTCTGACTTGCTCCGGCGGTACTTCACGGCGGGATCGGAGCAGGGCCGATCCTGAACCGTCTCTGTGATGACCTGCTTGTCGTGGAACTCGGGCTCCGACGGTGCGAGGGGCGGCGGCGCGTGGGGTACAGTGACGGGTGTGCGGGTGTTGAGGAAATCGTGGTAGAGAGCGTCGGCGGCGGAGCGGGGGGCGGAGAGACGGCGGGATTGGGCGAGGAGGGCGGCGATGATGGCGTTGGAGAGGGCGAAGACGAAGAGAGGGCTGGCGGCGAAGGCGAGGAGGCGGCGGAGGAATTGGGCGGAGAGGGCGAACGCGAATGGGAGGCGCGTGAGGAGCCAGGAGAGGAGAACGAGGACGAGGCAGAGTTCGAGAATGCGAAGGGTTCTGGAAAAGGCGGCGAAGAGGTTGGGTCTTTGAATCGCGTTGGCCTTCTCTGCTTTGAAGAGAAACTGGTCCATTGATCGACACAGAAAGAGACACTGAGTTTGAAGGAGTGGAAGTGGGAAAGAGAGAAAAAGAAGAAAAGGTTATGTTGGGTTTTTAGTTTGGTAGAAGAAGTTGGAAGAAAAGAGAAACAGAGTGAGAGTGGAGTGAAGAAAGAAGAGTGAGAGCGAGAGAGAGAGAGAGAGAGCTTGGAGAGTTGTTGCGCTGTGTCTGAAAGTTGGCAAAAGTGGAGCTTCTTTCAACACAGACTTGCTCTTTTATACACTCCTCCACCTGCCACTGCCACCTACATTTATTTCTCATCTCATCTATGTTGTTTTCTTTTCTCTTTTTCCTTTTTATTTAACTTTCATATCTTTTCCATAAAATTAATAAACAGGAAATTCTTTTCTTCGTTTAATTTCCTATTTTTATTAACTTGTTTCATGACTATAATTTCTCTTTTGGAACATATTTTACCGATTAGTATATGTCCAACAATAATATATATATATATATATATATATATATATATATATATATATATATAGCACATTTATAGTTTAAAGAGTTTTTTTTTTTCATTTTTTGGTGTGGAACATATTTGATTCATCACTAGCTAGCTGATATTGAAAATCAGGGGAGGGATTTTTGAAGGAGAGGTAATGTGAATCAGTCTTGGTGAATGGTGTTGAGATAAGATGTGGCATTTCACGTGAGGCCGTGTTTTAGAAACAGTGCAACCTGCAAAGTGTTCCACCTTGTGTGTGCATTCTCTTATTCTCCTCCTCTTATTGTAAGAGGAAACACTCTATCTAAATAGCATTGTTAGTTTTTTTTTTTTTTAAGAAATTTATGAAAAAGTCATTTTAAATTAACTTTTGAGTGAACGAGGGTATTTGGTAATTTGAATTTTTGAGTTTGGCTAATGAAACCGACATTGTTATATCTGGGAGATATTATTATTTAGTTGTTGAAAACAATGTGTGTTGCCAAGTCAAGTGAACGTGGTTCTTGATGTCACGTGGCTGTGCAGTGCCCAACTTGAAACATTCCACGCTTCATTGGTTTTGAGCTTTCTTTATCATTTCCATCTCCACCACTAAACTTTCTTTCAATTTGGGTCGCGTTAGGCGAATCCATGCCCCAAATCAGAACTCGTGACGGATAACAAGATTGTTTTAATTTCAGTCCTTTTAACAAGCAATGTTCTCTTATTACCATGATATTCCTGAAAATAAGATTTTAGAAGGTAGAGTAAGGAAAGATTTAATTAGGAGCAGCGAAAAAACCATGATAAGTGAGGTCCGTACACGTTTGAACTTGCTCCTTGCAAGTTGCAAAAAGCAACCTTTTGGTTTGTTGTTACATGCATCGCGTGGCGCTCAAGTGAAGCACGAAAGAGGGGCCAATGCAAGACGTAATAATAATAATAACAATAAACAATAATAATGTTATTTTGAGATTATTTTGTTTTACTGTTGGTGCTGCAATTGCCAGAAACTGACACTGTCTGTTGCCTGTATCTAAAATTGTTACTTTCTTCTTCGTTGAGTCCCAATATTCATTTCTCACTTCTTTTTCCTTCGCATCCTGCCATTGTGATCATGCATTCCTTCCTTCCTCATTATACTTTTTCACTGTTCCACTCACAACAACATCACAATCCTTGTCACATGAAGTTTTCATTTATAAATAGTAATTATCACACTATCTTTAACAAATTACATATTTTTATACAATTCACACCCAACTTTCACTACATTCATACAAGCTTAATTCACCTTTCATTAACTTTTTAATTTAATTTATGCATACAAGTTTTTATTGACAATGCACATCTTTTACCCTGTGGTTGATTAAAACATGTCTCCTATATTCTAAGAGTACGTGACATTCTAGGGTACTATTTTGTTGTAAATTATAATTAACTGTTAATGGTATTGAAATGGATATGTCACCTGAGAAACTACAGCGTAGGGTTTGTATTTATAGTTTGTGGATAGTATTCACCTCTGAGAAGCTATGGAGTCCCTTCAGGTTGACAAGATGTGTCAAAAAATTTAAACTTTGATTGCTTATTTAATGGAATGCAATCAATGATGAAGCTGAAGACTGAAACATGGACTTTGACCACGGCACCCTTAAATAGTTTCGTTCAATTCTTCATCAAATTTTGAAACTTTCGTCACCATCCTCAATCATTTTCACCACAAATTTAGGTTTAAATTAATGAACAATACACTAATTCCAATTTCATATAAAAAACTTTACTTCGAACAAAGCATTAAGCATGAGTTATATTATAGTTATAAAATATTTAAAATAAAATATCATTAAATGAAGTAAAATAATTAAAATTCATTTATATTTATGATTTTTTTAATAACGAGAACGGAAGGAAGTATAGTAATTTAGAAAAATTATTAATATGAATCCAGTAGTTTTTCCACTGTTTTACAGTATTCAGGCTGTATGGAAGCAAACAGAAACTGGTAAGAATTTATGAGATTTCCAAAAATACATCATAGTTTATGGATTCAGAGTGAAAGCAATTAGATTCTCTGTGTATTTGTGGCTAAATTGTTAATTTAATAATAAAAAATGTGATATTATCATTTTGGTTTTCACAAAAATTCCAAAAAAAAAATGAAAGTGAAATTCGTAACTCACTCTAGCTTTAAAATAATAAAAAAATATAAAACATGTTAAAGTATTTAGATAAAATTTAAATTTTATTTAAATAAATTATATAGAAATTTAGAAAACTTTCAAATAAATATTAAAGTTGTAGTATTTTAGTTCCTCATCCATTCAGAGTTTATTCAAAATCTAATGGTTAGATTTGGTTTTATTATATCAAAATTGTTGTTTTTCTTGCTCCAGTCCAATTATAAAACAACAAAACTATTTGCAAAGTTGTTTAACTGAATATATAAACTTTGTAGTTGTAGTAAAACATGTTTCAAAACTCTTATTATGAATGAGTAGAACAAATGAGATCAATTTCTTGACAAATTCATTAGTTTATAAATCAAAGAATAGTTATTTAAATAGATATTCATGTTTTTGTTGATAAGAGAGAAACAAAAGAAATTTATGATGGATTATGTGTGTAGAGTAGAATAACGGTATGCAATTGATAGGAAAGAGAGTATAATTATTGTATAATTATTATATAATTCTCAATTTGTTTTTTTTTAAGACTAATAACATGAATATAGTTATTGGGGAGAACACAATATCAATTAAACATGAGCTTCATCCATATAAAGATTCACATCACTCTCAATAAAAAGATTTAAGATATCGGGTCTTTCGTTCTTATATTGTTTAATTTTTCATTCTTACTCAATGTGAGACTCAAACTCACTCTAGTAGTCCTTCCAACAATCTCTATGTCCCCTCGAGCACTTTATTAGTCCTTTCGTCATAATGGGACATGTTTACTCGATTTACTGTCATAAAGACTTTCAATATAAAGACCATCCAACAATCTCTATGTCCCCTCAAACACTTTGTTAGTCCTTCCATCATAATGGGACATGTTTACTCGATTCATTGTCAGGAAGACTTTCAATATAAAGACCACTCTTAAACTGTTGATTTTGTTTTAAGTTATAATAAGGGCTCAATTGGAAATTTAGTTATCAATCTTTGGGAGACCAAGAGGGTGTATAGCTGATTGATTTTTGGATGCCAGAATTTTAGTTACAATCAATCATTAAGTAGTTTTCAATTTCTAGGTTAATAAATCATTATTAGCATTTATTTTCCTTTAATGAATATTTGTAACTCTGATGACAAAACTTCTTTATAAGCTGAACCATTTTTATCAGAAATAACAAGTTGAGTTTTATTTTTAGAAATATTAGAGTTTATCTCTTTTATCTTAGTGAGAGTGATTCTCCTAAATTCTTGAGTGATTCAAGAATATTTGGTTGTATCAAAGGACTTTCACATCCTTTGTGTGTTGCCTTCCTTGGAAAGAGTGATTCTTTCCTTCCACCTTCTTTCTAATTCCTAAATTTTTTACAAGGTTCTAACCTTAAAGATCCTAAATCACCCATTGTGATTCATATAATTGGGTGTGACCCATTTACTCATGTAATTGTAAACCTAATTGGGGTGAATAAGAACTATCATCTAGTATAGCCGTGGAAGTAGGTCACTTTGATGTAAGTGTGTCCCGTTAGAATGAATGACAATACATGGAAATGACCACTAGTGAGTTCGAGAGAATATATCACTTGTTGGGTCTTTCGAGGGGGATTTACTAGGGAGAACAACACCAATGAGACATGAGCTTAATCCATACAAGGGTTTGACACCACTCTTAACCCAAAACCTTAAGGCATTGGATTATGGGTCTTTCTTCCTTATATGTTGCTCAACTTTCTTATTCTTACTCAATGTGAGACTTAACTCACACTTGGATTACCCAACAGTATGTCCCTTACGTCCCCTCGAACACTCTAGTAGTCCTCGTTCATCATAATGAGACATGTTTACCCGACCAACTGTCGAGAAGATTTTCAATACAAAGACTACTCTTAAACTGGACAAGAAGACTTTCAATACAAAGATTACTCTTAAATTGTTGATCAACTTTCGACTTTGATACCACTATTGGATATTTGGGGGGGGGGTTACTGGGAAAAACAACACTAAATGAGATATGAGTCTAAGTTACATAAGAGATTGACACCACTCTCAACCAAAAATCTTAAGACATTAGGTTATTGGTCATATATCCTTATATGTTGCTCAATTTCTTTATTCTTACGCAATGTGAGACTTAGAATCACACTTGGAATATTGTCCAACAATATCCCCCTTAAATGTGAGTTTCTCCACATTGATATATCCCCTCGAGCTCACTAGTAGTCCTTTCATGTACCGTTATTGATCATAACAGAACACACTTATTTGACCCATTGTCATAAAGACTTTTGATACAAAGACCACTCTTAAACTGCCGATCAATCTTCGACTCTGATACCACTATTGGGTCTTTTCGAGGGGGATTCACAAGGGAGAAATAACACTAATGAGATATGAGTCTAATTCACATAAGGGATTGACACCACTCTCAATCCATAACCTTAAGGTATTGAGTTATGAATCTTTCTTCCTTATTTTACTCAATTTTCTCATTCTTACTCAATGTGAAACTCAAACTTGCACTTGAATTTCTTAACAAGAATAATATTTGAGTTCTAGTTGTATCTTTAACCTCTTTTTAGGATTATACATTATCATCATACTTAAGCATTATGTTTGATTATGGATAGTTTAGAGTATATTTGAATTTATATGTTATTAATTTGAGTTAAATTCACTAGTGCAAAAAGGGGCATTTACGTCAGGTATTTAGGGTTTTTTACGTCGTATTTAAGTCCGACGTTAAAGCGGGAGACGTAAATTTACGTCGGACCCTTTTGCCCGACGTAGATTTACGTCAGTTATCCAGATCCGACGTAGATTTACACTAAACAGACGTAAAAACCTTTTCAATTTAAAAAAAAAATAGAAAATTTACGTCGCATATGGTATACGCGACGTAAATTTACGTCGCATATACCAATATGTGACGTAAATTTACGTCGCATATACCAATATGCGACGTAAATTTACGTCGCATATACCAATATGCGACGTAAATTTATTGTTTTTTTTTTTAAATTGGGTTTATTTATTCTGTTTTACAACTAAAACCTGCAAATATTACAACCAGACAGTCCAAATGTTTAGTTTTCTTTAGCTAGTAAATTAAAAATATAATATTATATAATTCAAACTACATAATAAAACAATATAATACAAACATACAAACTAAAAAATCTATTACAAACTAAGCTACCTATACAAACTAAGCTACCTATACAAACTAAGCTAAACTACATAATACACACAATATAATATGAACAAGAACTTAAAAAATAATGTACTAGAATTGTTGAACAAAAAATTTTGCCCATTGTTCTCTAATTTACGTAATCTCGGATTCTGGTAATGGAGATGAATCTTGAAATACCCGAAACATGAATTTGACTCTTGTAAGCATGCAACATGAATAAAGTTAAATAAACTTAACTAATGTTAAAAGTAATTACCTCCAGTCCAAGAATCAATTAAACCCGCACAAACTATGGCTCTCATCCAATACATTAGATAGTAACCACATTCAAACGAGTCAGTTTGCTTATTACACTGAAATGATGAAAAAAACATAATATTATTTTCAAAATTGAAATACAAACATAATATTATTTGTTTGAATTTGATTCAAACAACGAACACATGGACAATAATATGTCCCTTTCATAGCTTTTCCATTTTCACTAGCAAATTTCAAAAATTCCTCAACTCCCTTTTCGTACTCTTCACTAATACGACGTGCATTCATCCAACTTCGATTCATATTATGTTATAAAGTTTCGTCACTCCTAAAGATTTAAAAATTATATGTAAAAAAAATTAATATACAAACAACAAAGCACGTTCCAACAACAATGGAGTGTGTAAACCGAATGCACTCAAACAAATAAACAAATAATTACATTCCAATAATAATCCAGTGGAGACATTCATACTATAACGTGATTGAGATCCCCAAAAACAATCACGGATTCAATGTAAACATATAGCAATGACATAGAACACTAACCTCGAGTGTAGACGAAAACTGATTTCAAACTCGAATCCAATCGGGGAGAAAGATCAAGTTCGTCAAATGACACGATAATGTAGATGTTTTTCACTGTAAAACTGCTCGAAAATGGTGTGCAGAGGTAGCTGTTGTCGTCGTTCTCGTCGTCGTTCTCAAAAACCCTGGTTGCGCGAGACGAGGAAGTGGGTCTGGAGGGAAATAAAATAGACTTTTTACGTCGCGCATCCCAGCACGCGACGTAAAAAGCCATCTTTTACGTCGCACTTGGAGGGCGCGACGTAAAAGATGGACTTTTACGTCGCGTGCTGGGGGGCGCGACGTAAAAAGCCTCAGGTGCGACGTAAAAGAGGCTTTTTACGTCGCGTACTGGGATGTGCGACGTAAAATTTTTGTCTCATATTTACAAAATTGCCACCGCGTTTTATTTACGTCGAATATACATGCATGCGACGACAATTGGGTGATGTAAAAGCCCTATTCTGCACTAGTGATTTATGTTGTTTAATTGAATTGTTGAATTGGACTTTTGAATGGGCTAAATGATATACATGTTATAGGTTACAGAGGAAGAGACGAAAAATAATGGCTATTAAAAATAGAGACAGTTTTATCGACGGATATACAGATGGATAATCTATCGATAAATGCCTTGAGGACTATCATTATTAATAACTGATGAATATATGCATCGGTAAGTATGTTGAAAACACCTACAGACTTTACTACTGAAATATTCATCGGTAATTACCCACGGTATTTTTCCATTGATATACTTGTAGGTAATTATCGACAAATTATAAAATCTGTCGATAAACTTTAGTTATAATATAATTACCGACAAATTTGAAATTCGTTCAACACTTTTATATTTGCTCAACAGTTTTTGAAAAATCACCAAAAATTGCTCTGAATTCCAAATTTAATGTTTTATATATGCAAATTGAAACCCCGAAGTAAGGAATTCAATAAAATAAAAATTAGTTAAAAAGGATGTCTAAGAAAAGTTATGATAAAAAGAATAGGCATAGATCAAATTAGAAAAAAAAATATATTTTGTTATAATGTTAGAAATAACGTATATATGTCTTAAGTTATTAAAATACATGTTATGAATATGAAATGAGATGTGTAGAATGTTATTTTATGCGCTAAAAAATATATTGTTGTGATATGAGAATTACCAAGGGTTATCCTCATATGTGAAAAATATTGTGTTGTGACATGAGAATTACTAAGGGTGATCCTCATATGTGTAGTGTTATATGTGTAGATATTGATTTGAGACTCGATGAGATATCTTAACTCTACTGATAATTGGAATCACATAGATGAAAGGATCAGGTGGTGAGAGTTGAAAGAGATTTCTAATGACTTAGCTTGTGGTGTGAAAAAGAACTGTGTCTTGATAAGTCATTAAAAATTTACCTTGGTCACACATAAGTGTTCTGGGCATCATTGTGTTATGCACTTGGGGGAGTTGTGGTGTAACAAATGTAGATCTTTGATGCCTATTTCAACATATAGTCTTCCAGAAGTCGTGTAGTGTTGGTGTGACGTGAATGTGAACATGTACGGGGGTGTGATGTAATATATGAAAAATTGAAGTTGAATTATGTTGTTTTATTTCATATTTAAATTTTACATACTTAAATTAAATTACTAGCTTACCCTATGTGTTTTGTATATTATTTTTAACCGTGATGATTTTGTGTTTACACGGAAACAGATTTTACAGGTAATAAATCTTGACAAGTGTAGATCTGGAGCTAAGAGTAATATAATTTATATTTTGTTTACTTTTGAAGTGATAAATATGTATTTATATATTTCCCTACGTAGAAGAAATTTATTTTTTAAATTTAATTATATATATATATATATATATATATATATATATATATAGAATATGTATACTTTTGGAGTTCTTACATATAATAAGTTAATTAATAACAATAATTTTTATAAAAAACATTTATAATAATATTACGATCATTATAAATAATAATGTTACAAAAATATAAAATACAGTAAAAAAGTAAAGATTATAATGAATAATAAAAATATAATAAAATAAATATTATTTAAAATTAATATATTTTATTTTATATAAATAAAAATAAAAAATATTATATATTTTTATAAAAAAATTATTTTTAAGAAAATAAAAACTATCTTGATTTTTAATTATTTTATTTTATTTTTTATTAAAACTGGTTTGAACAAAAATCCAATCAGATTTTCCAAGTTTTATATTGATTTGTCCTTTAAATACAATTTCAATTAAAATTAAGTTATTTAAAAATAACAAATCGATTCAAATGCCACTCCGATTGAATATAATTTCTTATCAAATTTAAGTATATTTTTCTGCTATTTTAAGTTAAAATTTAAATTAATAATTTATATATATATATATATATATATATAAAAATATTTTAATTTATATTATAAAATATCATATATTTATATATTTTTTGTCATTAGTATTCCAATTTATAAAGTTAAAATATTTTTAATATATATATATATATATATATATTTATATATCATAACCTAAAACTCTTATCAAATTACACTAATATACTTTCATCAGTTTCGAAAAAAATATTTTGTTAATTCAATTATTTGAGTTATAAATTTTATATCATATGATTATTCATATACATTTTTTAAATTAAATAACATTTATATTTTATTTTATTTTAAATATAAATTACATCAATTTTAGTCAATATAAACGAGATGTAAAGTAATTTTAGATTCATAGAATTATATATATATATATATATATATATATATATATATATATATATATATATTATTTGTACCAAATTTTAACTATTTAAGTGCTAAAAATATATATTTAAGTGGAATAATTATAGAATAAAATCAAGAGTATATATGATCGGAATGGTGATATGATGTATCTACTCTACACTTCATTGGGTGCTAACGGGAATTACTAGATGGCAACTGCAAAACAAGAAAACATGAAAAACACATATTTGGGTGACGAGGTTCGTCTCATTTTCACGCCATCACACAAAGGAATTCATATGTATATATGGTGAGGAATGGATCTATGGATATTTCCATTTTACCCTACTTTCTCTCCTTTAACCCATTTCTGTTCCTCCTAATTCACCTAGTCTAAATAAAAGCGTACGTGACATAAAGAAAATGACATAGTACAGAGTTTATGTAAGCTTGACAAGAATGACATAATCCAGACTAAAAAAAAAAGTTGTAAGCAATAATTTGAGAAAAAAGTGCTTGAAAATAGGTCAAGAAGACTATAATAGATAGCATGAAAGTAGTAGTAGACCTGGTGGTTTGTATCTATATCACATATGTATCTGTGTATGAGTGATGTGTACGTGCATGCCGCGATGTGACTATGAGTCTCACGAGTCATAATGCAGAAGACGCCCACGATGTGGTGAGGAAACGCGAAGCGACATGCATGCATGTTGGCCCTGCCCTGCCAATTTTGCACTGCACTGGACTGGACTTTCATAGGGCTTCGCGTGCAAACCACACTGGCTTTTGGTACATGAATCCTCCTCCTCCTGTATCTGTTGTGACTTGTTGAAGTGTTCATTTACTAAATCCTCCACTAACCCTTCAAATATAATATTTGTATTTTGTGTATATAATTGTTTATATTATGCCGTACATTACTCAGCTTCAGGCCAAACATCGGAAATGTGTCAAATGGACAGTTGCAGAAGGAGTAACAGATATGATAGGTAGCAATAATCAGTTTTGTTTTGTTTTACTATGGGAACGAACGAAAGTCTGTGGGTATGATCCCACGTTTAATTTAACCATTTGGGATAAGAAATCAACGATCTGAGAACCTTCTTCTGTCGTTTTCAAACTTGATGTCGCAGTATGTATAAAAATTGGTTTACTTGTTGAACTGTCCACTTTTGAGCCAAAAAGGTGTGATTGTATGAAGTTCTTATCTTGATAAGCTGTTTCTGACATTTCAAACACAAGAATTATTCTTTAAATACACTAGTCCTTATTGGTGGATTCCTCTTCTCTTTTTATTTTTTTCATTTTTTTCTGGGAAAGGAGTTGGGTTCAGATTTTCTATTATTTACAATCAAAGTATATTTTTTTATGAAAAATATCATTTGAGTTCGGGGAAAGATTAACTGGGTGTAAGTATAAATTTTATATAATGAGAAATTATTACTTAGTTTGATATTACAGTTTCAACTGTTGGCTAAAAAAATTCTCACGTGAACAAATTCATCAACTCAGTAATAACATGATTTAGGGTTTACGGTTTTGAATTTCGAAAACAATTCTCGAATTAAAATATTTAAATGTTAAAAAGGTATTACAAATCATAAAAATAAAAAAAATACTACTTAAAATTGTCCACATGATTATTATTACAGTGCAATGTCTAATTGGGTAAAAAAAAAAACTCTCTATTATTGAAAGAATATATATTACTAAAATGACTAAATTACTGATCAAAAAATTTAGTGAGAAAAAGTTACTTTCCTCTTGTTAATCATGGAGTGATTAAAGTTTAGTGGCATTTTTTCTAAAAAGTTCATAAAAACGTATCTCACTGATATTGACTAGATATTGGTTATATTAAAAAAAATATTTTGGTCCATCAATTTTTAATTCTTAAACATTAAATTTGAGAGATCAAAATTATATTATTTTTCTTTAAATTTTATGAACTAAAATTGATATTTTTTAAGATTTTGAGAAGCAGATGCATCCGACAGTTATATAAATTAAGCCTATGAAACACGTAGGATCATGTGAGGGTTCATGCACAAGCTAAGCCAATATTTTTGTTTTAGACAGAACTAAACCAATATTACGACCCTTACTATTGGTATAGTAAGTGGGTTTCGTCGAGTACACAGATTTTTTTTTATCTAAACTATAACGATATGCTAAAGAGATAAGGATAAGAGGAAGATGAAAAGTGAAACGGCATGTCCATTGATGGTGGAAAATAGCTTAACCGGAATCTTAAGACACGCGTATATTAAACTGCTTCGTGGTTCTCACGATAGAGAAAGAAAAATGAGGAGAAAATTACGTGAAACTTTAGACAGCGATCTTGAAAAAGGGATTTTGTGTTGAAAGCATAAGCTTGTTTTGAGAAGGAGATGCGACTTTCTGGTCTGGAAAGTGCAAAAGGAGGAAAGGGGAATATTTGTAAATGTTTTTAGAAGATACTTTTGCAGAGTTAATTAAACATCTTATATCAACTACACTGCATAGATAGATATTTCGTTTTCCAGATATCTGAACTGGAATAATCGATCGTGCGGTTTAAATGGGTTGTGCAAAAGGGTGACATTGACCATTTGTCACAAAAAATGGTGATGTTGTATTGAAGGCATATTCTGTTTGCTGCTTTTGTTGTTTAAACTTATCGTGTTGTTCCTTATGGAGCATGATTCTCTCTCGGCTTATTACACGGACAAACCAAACATGTTTCTTGGTTTCACAGCCACACTATATATGCTACCAGAGAGTTTCAAGAAAACGTATGAGCTATGTAGCCCATAGCCCATAGCCCATAGGTGCAGGTTTTCAAGTTGAGCCCGTGAATATGAGGAATGAGTAAGTGAGGCAATCAAAATTCAAAGGAGTTTGACATATCACGCGCTGGCTCCTTCCCTATATATTCCTATTTGAGTTTGGATATGTAGAAGAGGTAGTGATGGGCTATTCAATAGGACTCATAAAAGTTAAAGCCTAGTCACAAGAAGATTAGAGAGTAAAACCCAGTTTTCTTTTTAAGTATAACTAGAGCTTGAGTAATTAAGCTCATGCAATACACCTTGCACCAACCTAGATACATAACAACAAATAAGACCCAATACTTTTCTTATCTCCAATATTATCTCTAATATATTATTAGCCTACGAGAAGATCATATAACTTAATAAAAGATATATATATATATATATATATATATATATATATATATATATATATATATGCAAACAATTGCGAGATAATTTTAAATAATTCGAAAGTTCTCTCATGATTTACCAATGGCTAGAAATCTAAATAATAACTTCACTTTTTATAATTCATTTACATATGTTTTTACAGAATATTCATTCATGCTCACTCATCATTATAGTCTATCGTATTTCAAAAGATAAGATATATCTTCTTCTTATCAAATTTCAGTAAAAAAACGTTTTATTTTCTAATAAGAATATTTAACATTATTGTGAGTTTGAATTTCTTCCCTGCGCACACAAATCAAGATTTTGTACTATTAATTTTTTTTCGCCAATACATTGACATCATCAACTAAAGAGTTAATGTAAATATCATATTAATATATAGAAAGTAATGGAATTTCAAAATTAGTTGATAATCAATGTAAAAAAATTCACATACCATATTAATTATACATCTAAGTAAATATGTTCTAAAATAGGTCAATTTTATTGAATATCGATTATAATGAGATCATGCCGAAAATTAATATCAAAATTTTCGTTATCATGATAAAATAATAATGAATAATTATGATCTATTTGTCCATCATAGAACCACCATGGTAGAAATTTTGCTTATTCAAGAGGAAACTTTGAATGAATATTTTTCTGTTATTTAAGCCATAGCCAATAAAAGGAAGGCTCATGGTGAAAGGATGTGTTAAACAATTATCACTGCAAAATCTTTGAGATCAATGGTGTCAAAATTTGATTATGTGGATGAATTGAAGAATTTAACAAGATCATTATTGATTAATTGTAAAGTAGTCTCCTTGTTAATGAACACAAGATGACAAAAAATATTTACATAGAAGAAACACAAGTTTTGAAGATCTCCCATAAAGAGGAAAGAGGGAGAGGTAGGGTGCATTTAAAGGAGGTTGAGTAAGAGGAAGGGGAAGACAATCCTTCTATATATAAAGCTACTATTAAATGTTTTAAATGCACAAATTAAGACATTATTACGAGTGTGCTAAGTGAAAGAAAAAAGTCAACTATGCTAAGTTAAGACAAGAGAAAGATGAATTACTATTAATGTCTTAAGTAGAATTCAAATAAGTAAAGAAAGGAATGTGATTTATTAACTCCAGTTACAATAATCATATGATTAGAAATAGGAACGAAGGAATAATTCTTGAATTTTGTTCAATTTGGATAAAAGTTTTAACCAAACTGTTAAGTTTGAGAATGTCATAAAAATGACAATAATAGAAAATGAAATGTTTGTATGAAGATAAATACATTTACTCAATTAATTTTTTTATATTTACTATATTTCTAAACTTAAGAATAACTATTATGCATAGGGACAACTTCAAGAAAATATGTGAATATTTTGATTCAACATGAAGTGTAGGGTATATCATCCTAAGAAATTAATTATGGAAACACATGAATGCTAACATAAGAGGTATCTCTTAAGTTTTATTCACTTGTCAAATTTGGATATACTTGGAGTGTGGATATGCCCTGTTGAGGCTATGCAAAATACAAAATTTCAGAAGGGGCATAAAGCAATATGAAACTAACAATTGATTAGTTTTGAGATTTTGGCGTGTAACTCATGCACGTGTTTCAAACTAAAATGGATCAAAGGATGTGTTTTCTTAGGAGTAAGTGATGAATCAAAGAAATATAAACAACATGACCTAATTTTAAGAAAATTCATCATTGGTAAAAGGATGGGGTACTTCAAGGAAATGAATGCTAGAATTAAGGTAAAAGCAAAGAAGAATACAAACTAGATGTTTTAAGTGGTGGGATAATGATGAGTGTTGCTAATGAAAAGGAAGATCATAATGAATAATACAATGGTGTTAATAGAAGAGATTCAAGCAATGCTGATTTTCCTTCTAATATATCACATGAGAACGACTCTTAAACTTTAAATGAAGAGAGAATTAGAAAAACACCATCTTGGATAACAGATTATGAAACAAGTGGATGATTTAAATGAAGATAACGTTCTTTAAAAATGACCCCGTGCATTTGATGAAATTCTCAAGAGTGGAAAGATGTAATGATGGCAAAGAATGAGTTAATTGAAAAAAAAAAAATAAGACTTGATAGTTAAATGTTAAGAGTGAAGCCAATTGGAATTAAAAGAATTTTCAAAACTAAACTTAGTGAGAATAGATAGATAAACAAGTACAAAACAATACTAGTAGCTACAGGTTATTTACATTGAAGTTTTTGCTCCAATTATCAGGCTTCTCACAATCTGATTAATACGTACTTTAGTAACACAAAACAGTTGGATTTTTTTGGCTTGATGTGAAGAGCGTTTTTTCTTCATAATGACCTCAATGAAGAAATCTTTATGTAACAACCATTGGGATTTGAGAAGGTGAAGAAGACAAGGTTTTGAAATTAAAAAAGACTTTGAATGCGAGCATGGTACAATGATGTAAAGACTTATTTGTAAGGGTTCTTGTAACCATATATTATTCACAAGAAGAGAGGTAAAATTTTAATAATAAACCTTTATGTTAATGAAGAGGTAAAATTTTAATAATAAATCTTTATGTTAATGATTTTATGTGTGTGTGGAAAGGAACAACTAAACTTAGAATTTAAAAAAAAAAAGTTGGTCAAAATTGTAAACTTACATAGTGACTTTGTTGGTCATTTAGATGATCAAAGGAGTAGTCAAACTTTTTTCTTACTTGAATCCGATTTAAATTCATGATTCTCTAAAATACAATATATAGTTATTTTGTCTATTAAAAAAGCATAAGAACACAAGTTATAGTTATTTTGTCTATTAAAAAAACAAAATACATAGTTGTTGGACTCTGTGCTTGCCAAAATATTTAACTGAGAAGGCTGATAGAGAAACATTCGGATGATATCAGTAATTTCATTCAATGCAACAATTCTAATATAAAGTTGTAACAAAACACATTGATACAAGATTTTATTTGTAACAAAACACATTGATACAAGATTTTATTTTTCTCAATATTAACAAAACAGTGGTGGAATTAATTTATTGTAGTTCACAGTACGTTGATGGGCATGAAAAATGTGGTTCTATTATTATTATTTTTTTCAAATTGGTACTGCTATAAATATAAAGGATCACTTGCTTTTGAATGAATAATATATTCTCTCTTTATTGTACTCTACAATCTTTTTATTTTTGTGTATAGAGAATTTTTTGAAAGGAGAATACTAATAAAAAAGGAGTCGCCCAACGTTGAAAATAAAAGATGAAAAGCACTATCCAAGACGGATAATAAGCAGAGCCCATAAGAGAAAAATTATCACTCATTTTGCTTCAAGAAAACTTGTTTGAAATCAAATTATTCCACCTTCTATGTGTTTTCTAATGTAGAGGTTACTACATAACAGTTTGGCATTTAATGATAACCTGGATTAAGAGAGGCTGCATTATTGTATTTGACGAATCTGCAAAACATTTTTCTTTTTGTCCATTTGCTTTAAAATTATGGTCTTGATTGAGTTCTTATTTACAAATTAAGTTGATGTTTCCTTCCATTGCATCCCTTTCGAAAACCAATGATGGAAATTGGAGCAAGGTGGTATGGTTGGTCATTCAAGTAGCAGTTTTTTTTATTGATTTTATTTGGTATAACAAAAATCTGATTCCGTTCGATTGTCAACATATGCCTTATTCAAGTCTTCAAAATAGGATGTATTCTGAGGTAAGTTTGATTGGTAATTTAGGCACTTTACTATGAAATCTAATGTGTTTAAATTTTGTATTCTTTAGTATTTTAACATTGATATTAAGTTTGGTTCTGCTTCTGTGATTATTCCTATTTTGTAGAAGTCTCCTCCTTGTTTTTGGTTAAAATGTAATACAGATGGAGCAACCAAAGCTGTACCTGATTCGACAACTTGCAAGGTATTTTTCTAGAGTGCGCAACTGTTGTTTTAGGTTACTTTTCTATTTTTCTTGGAGTTCAATAATCTGTTCATGTTGAAATCATGGGAGCTATTTATGTGGGTGATATTGCTTATTATAAAGGTTGACATAGCATGTAGCTGGAGAGTGACTCGATGCTTGTTGTACAGGCTTTTTAGAATAATCATATTATTCCTTGGTATCGTCGATCTGGATGGCATAACATGGAGTCTAAATGTAAAAATGAGATTTCATGTTTAGCATATTTGATAAGAAAGGGAATCATTGTATTGATAAGCTTGCATGCTTTGGTGTAAAAGAAAGATGTGTAATCAGTGGTGGGATGACATTCCACAATCCACACGTAATAAGGTTAACATTACTCGTGGCTGGAGTGTGACTCGATGCTTTTCAGAATAATCATATTATTCCTTGGTATCTTCGATCTAAATGGCATAATATGATGTTTAAATGTAAAAATATGAAATTTTATGTTTCACATATTTATAAGGGAATGATTATGCTCATAAGCTTGCATTACCTAGCAGAGGTAAATTTTTTTCTAAAATAATTGAAGTAACTAACAATCTCTTCCTCAAAATTATCTTTTCACGACTGGTGTTTGTTTAGTTTAAGCTAGTTTCATTTATTAATGGATTTCTCATCAAACCCAAATCCATTGGACTTGCAATATGATCTTCCCTAAATTTGGCTAGGTAAGATTGTAATGCAATTGACGAAGAAAGAAAATTTACAGAGTGGTCTAATGCTATACCTCTACTGGTGCCTTCCAAGATACATTATATAATTTAAAAGAGTAAAAGATATTAAGCAAGAATGCTTAGGGTCCGTTTGATATTAGAAAATGTTTTCCATTTTCCCTTTCTAAAAGTAA